ACCCACATATAATTTCAAACAAACACTTTCGACACAGTGTATGGCATGTATCTCTTTCAGTGACTTTCATCATTTTTAAGCATATTTAAAGAGCACAAAGCAATAATTTAAAAAAGGAAATTAGATCATTTATGCCTACAGCAAAAATGATGATTGAGTTGCACACCAATGTTTAAATGATTACGAGGTTGTTCAAAAGGGAGATGAGCAATAATAGTAGCGATGCTTGCCTTAGTAAACACTGCTAAACAATAAACTCATGGTTTATTGTGCTAATTATTCTGAATGTGGATGTATTGTGAAGGTCAGCACGCACATAGCCGAGTGCTGCCACATTTTGGCTAAAATAATAATTACAGGAAGGGAATGCGTTCATAAAGCTCTGGACCTGTTTGCTCTTTTTTTTTAGTGGGAAAAGCTACATATGTCTACAAGCGAGCGGCGGAAGATCTTCTGTTCTGTGACTTTTCACCTGGCGGCTGTGGTGTGTGTCATCTGGTCACTCTACGTTCTGATTGACCGCACAGCTGAAGAGATCCGCCAAGGCAAGAACAATGGTAAACACACTAACACAGTAGCCTATATTTATGCATCGGTTTTAATGTTTGCAATAGTATCCACTGTTATTATGTCATAGTTTAGTATGCTTGAATGTTATATTGAACAATCAGGGTAATGCAGTATCGTGTAAAGTAGCTTCGATTAAGCTAATGTTAAGTCTTTTTTATTAAAGAATCTTCAGGACAAAATACAAATCATATTTACAAATCAAGCTAAACATATCATGATTTTAAATCATGTACTCTCAAATGAAATGGGGGGGGCAGTTTTGTTCATGTTAACTAAAAAAAGACTATTAAAAATATTTTTTGGTCATCTAAATAAAGCTTAATCAAAATAAAATATAAATATTAGATGAAAAAATTGAAATTTTGCCTTGGCATCTAACTGAAATAAGTCTAAGCTGAAGTAAACCTCAGTTAAAATGACTAAAACTGAAATAAAAATAAATTAAAGTTATATAGAAATATCTGAAAAACAAAACTAATAAAAATGACAAAAGCACATAACAAAATTACTACAATTTAAACTACGATTAATATTAACATTTAAATATAAAAATAAAAACTAATTTGAAATATGAATAAATACTAGATAATATAATATAATATTAAATATAAAAAAAACTATTAGATAGTTGCTGCCATTTTAAGATCACATGATCTGCTATGTCTTGCTATTTTAAGTTAAAATACACAAGTTGCATTCAAGTTAAGAATGTTAAGTTGGTCAGCATCTGAGCCAGTTTTATTTTAATGAGACACTAATATAGTTTTGCTTAATATTTTGAATGAGTTTTATATGGGTTATGTTGTTTTTGTTAACATCTATTTTATTTCAAGTAATATTTTTTTCTGGTTTTAGTTTTAGTTAACCCTGATCTGAGCTTAACTTATTGTTTACCTTCAAATATTACTATAATAATTTTCATACTTCCTTTCCAGTGCACCAAAAATTGAATAGAATTTTATTTGCATCGAGTCCAAGATTGTTCTTTTTTGGTAAATGCTCATGTAAAGAGCTGTTCAGTCATGACCTCAGTTTGTAGGCTGACTTGGTAGACTATTTTACCATGGATGCCCTGTTTTTAAACTTGGATTAATTTACATTAAAGCAACTAGTAGCAGAATTTATATACTATATATACACTTTTTATATTTAAGTCTCATAAAACTAAAAAACGGAACAGCTATTTAATGTGAAGCAGCAGCGATAAACAAAGAATGAATTAATCTAGACCAGTAAGTATCAATATAAAGTCCAAGCCAACTGGGACAAATAAGAGAAACAAAAAATGATTTACTGCAGCTTTTAATGCAATGATGTAGTAAGCTACTGTAATTTTGGAACTGTATAGCCGTGTGAGAAGTAATTCAACTTCAGAGTAGCTGTAAAATAATAAAATATAGTGCTGTAATTCCATGCCATGCTGTCATTGCACACACAGCGTTGGTGCGTTTGTCCCCTCTCAATGCCGTAGGGGTGCTGGATTGGCCGTTCTGGACCAAGCTCATCGTGGTGGCGGTTGGCTTTTCTGGAGGACTCATCTTCATGTATATTCAGTGCAAAGTCTACCTGCAGCTCTGGAGGAGGCTGAAGGCTTTCAACAGGATCATCTTTGTACAGAACTGCCCTGACACCGTCCGCGACGAAGAGAACAGGCCACCCCCAGTCACCCAGAGCAACGGCACGCACGGGACAGCGGAGGCTCCCGCTCCTCAGACACAAACAAACACAGGAGTGGAAATGGCCCCTGTTTGACGATGGATGCTTGCTGCACTGAATCTCAGTTGCGGAAAAATTTAGGAAAGGGCTTCTGGTGTATTTGACCAAAGTGATGTGATTTACATATAACAAAAGCACTTTTTACATTTTTATTAGAGGGTGGGTAAACTTATATATAGGGCTGTCAAATTATAACATTAAAAGGAATAGCTCAGCCCAAAATAAAGATTGTCATAATTTACTCACCCTCGTGTCTTTCCAAACCTGTATAAGTTTCTTTCTTATGTTGAACACAAAAGAAGATATTTTGAAGAATGCTGGTAAT